CATCAAAATGATGAACAATCATGTCTCTTTGTGCAGCTAAGGCCAACATTACACGCAATGATTCAGGCCTAACAGGAAATCCCGGAGGTGTAGACTAGAATGAGAAATTTAAAACATCCCAAAATAAGGCAGTGGCAAGGCATTTCTGGACCGTTGCCAAAGAAACATGAAGTCAATAGGAGACAAATTCAGCTCAAAGGAGATTTTTCTTTATTGCACAAAGACATAGAGTGCCTCACTGCTATTCAAGAAATGAAACTTTATTTTTATCTTAATTTTATTTATAATTCTATGATCTGAGTTTCCAGCACTGTTCCTTGTAACACAACGGTTTCACTTCCAGCAGTGCTGCAACCTCAGGTCATAGAACTATAAATAACAAATAAAAGTAAAATGAAGCTTCCTTTCCTGCAAAAAGAAGCCATGGATTTCCTATATAACATAATGCTGGGAACTCAGAAAGTTCCCTGTTTGAAACTTGTTTCTACTGTCAGCAACTAGATGACCTTAGGTAAACCACTCAACCTCAACTCATTCCTCAGCTTGCAAAGCTCTTTAACAAGTGTAACGGAATAACAGAGGTGACTTTGCAAGGACTAGCTCATGAGGCAACATGGGGGTAGATCTTCAGTCCACCATAATGCAAAACTACCCAAATATAGATGTACAAAAGGGTTTTTAAAAATCTTTTTTTTAATGGCATAGAGACGTGGTAAGGGAAAGTATTAGATCAACATTGAATGAAATGACTCTTGCAGGCTATAACTGTTGCCTCACTTACAGCAACCAAGAGTTAGAAAGAGATTTCAGGAGTAGAGTGATCCTTACTTTTACCATCCGCATCATTTCACTGTTGCACAGTCTATTGTTCTGAATTGTTTTGTGGCAATGGTTTATGAGTTGCATTAGCTACCTGACCTGTCCTGCTGACTAATGTATGTTGAGAAGAAGATCTGTGAATTACTTCCTCATACTTCTTCTTCCAACCCCCACAATCAACTCTATGGCATTCAGAACCAGGCATAATTCCTTATGAACACTGATTTACATTGTACAAAACCCTCTTAACATATCTGAATGAAATTTGGCAACATATTTTTCCATAACAGAAGTTATTATTGCTTTTAATCTCATCATATTCTAAAACTAAAGTTATATGAATTTTTTAATCCATTTTTTATAGAAGCATAGCTTGCAAATTCCTTTTATGACATCTGGCCTGCTTCATCCCATCATAACACTTCAGTTGGCCTGGAAATCTCACATATACTGAGGAAGAACAAAATGTATTGCCATTTGCGCTTTCCCAAGATAGACTATGGGAGAAGGTTCTCCCACTCTTCCAAATCGCATTGGATCCAGGCATCAGGCTGAATTAGGCTAACTTTACAGTTACCCTGATCAGGTCAGGCCCACAAATCTGATTCCCTTGTATTATTCAACTCTCACTTATACAGTTGAAAATACTGCAAAATGGTAACATCAGGATTACATAGAAGTTGAACTCTACATGCATTTATAGATGATGTTGGTATCAGTTGCTTTTATTTTTACTGACTGGTCCCTGTAGTGTCTTCAGATGTAACTAAGAATGTAAGTTAGTTTAATTACCTGCAGACTGACTGCATTTTTTTTCAGGCTAACAGATATTTGGGGATTTGAACCCAGGTTTCACTGATCATTCAACATACTAGCCACTATATCACAATGCTAAGATGAGGTATATACCTTGTTGCTTCAAATTTGCCTTGTCCAGCATCATAGAAAGGTGCATCGTAGTTATATTCATCAAAGACACCCCATCTGAGATGAGCCCATTCATGGACAAGGACTCTGCCTGTGAAAAATTAGAAACAAAGCTTAATACAAATTATAATGTAAGATGCTGACTATACTTTTTTAAACAACGGTACTGAAACACAAAATCTAATGAGAACAGCTGATGTTTTTAGACTACACTCACAGTGATGTAAAAGGGAGGAACACATTTTCAAGATGAGGAAGCAATTTTGGAAAGTGAAGCCATTCTTCTACTGGTTAAGACTAAATATATTTTCAGGTACCTTTCTTTTAACTGATTGTTAACCACTGTATATTAAGGCACAGTACAAAAATAGCAGAGTACTGTAATCCTAGGACACAGTTTGAAGGCATGTGATACAGCAACCTGGTTGAAGCTAAATGGGTGGTGTGACAGATGCCAAAGAGGAGAGCATCTTTGTACCTTTACTAATATTACCAAAGAGGTAAATTCACAAAGTGTGTCTATGGTTTGCTGCACCTGCTGAAACTTCTTTTTCTGTGCTACTGTTGAAGATGCAGAAGCCCTGTCTGATTTCATAGTTGCCCATCCTACAAACAGATCCAGGGCCAGGTAGAGTTGACAAAGTTGCTTTTATGATCTAAGACATGGAAACTCTGCTAATTCCTTCCAATTAATAGCCAAGTGAAATAAAGATACTTATTTGTCAGGATCCTTCTCTTTGTATGATTTCAATCCCTGCATATCAAAACATCCATTAATGAGAACTGAAACATCAATTAGAATTAACAGTTCTTACCTCGAGGTCCATAAATAGAAAGCAAATTGTCATTTGTCAAGAAGTTCTGAGTGAAATGAATGTATCGTCCTGGTGACCCACAACCTTCAAACTGCAGGGTGTAGGGTTCATCTCCATATTTTAAGTAAGGATTGGCTATGATGATATCAGCCTAAATAAAACAGGAGTGATGCAGTTTAGAGAGCGCTAAGGGAAAAAAAAGGTGCCTTCTTTTTTAAAGGCTAAACCTCTCTGGTTCTGTTCTTCTTTGGTATTACAAATTTCCAGTATACATTCATTTAATCTTCATATTACACATTTTAATGCTTTGGTCCTACAGAGACTGTAGAACTGAATGATGCCAGAAGATGCATCCTTTCGCTCTGCTTGAGGCTCTAAACTGCTGCCCTCCACTCACATAGTAGTTTCTTGAATGACTTTATGGATGTGTGCAAAGGAAGATTGGTGTTGGGCCTGGTGAAGAATGTAACTCTCCAGCTGTGGCCATTCCTAAGTACACAGAAGGTGGTCTGAGAATCGGCATCTGCAGCACAAGTGGTATACGGTGCCACTATGCACACCAGAGGCTCCCCTCCAGAGCACATGCTAAAGGCCTTCTCAGGCTGGGCAGCTATAGCACCAGAGGAAGGCTCCTGGCCAGCTCCACCTTTGTTCTATTTTCAGCCAAAGCACTTGGGGAGGTAAGCAGATGACAATACCTGCTTGCTCCCTTTGGCACAGGCCAACCAAAGTTCTTGGCTGACACATCTCAGTGAGGTGAGCCAGCAGGATCACCCATCTTCCCACCAGCTTGCTTGGGGATGTAAGTCAGTGAAGCTGGCAGCTTCCCTTTCCTCAAACCAGAGAGTTTTGAGAAGACTTCAAGATAGCCTACATTGCAGGGTTCAACAATTGTGATTCTTGATCAGGACAGAAGCTGGATGATCAAATGGTTGCTAGCAGCTGCAGAAAAAGGGCAGTTCAAGAAATTTGCTATGATAGGCAACAACATTGTTAAGCTGGGAGGGAGCAGGTACATGGAAGAACTTGTGAATATCCCAGGTGGATACTGCCAAAGTCCCACCCTGTAATATTGTGCATTCTTCCTAGTTATACAAATACATCTGACTTTCAAAGCATATTCTACACGTACCTGTTCATAGGATTCAAGGGTTCTTCTTTTATATTCTTGTTTTGAGCTCCACGTCAAAGGAATTACAATTTTTACAGACTTGAAGTAAAATCTCTGTTTTGTGGCATTGAAGAGATAACTGGATGCCTCTTTCACCATGTCCTGACCAAAAAAGAGCATAAAACACAAAGCATACTCCCTTTATTCTGGAGCATTGTTCATTAGCTACTGCTTGCATTAAAATGGGGTTTTAATCTGGGCACTCCCCCACGGTCAATTCTACTCCCAAACGAAAAGTAGCTACAAAAGCAAAGTATGAATGCAGCAAAAATCCTATGCACTGATCATCTTCCCTACCATGTCAATCTAGCCTGTCCAGCAGAGTCCAACTGGATTTCCCTCTCCCCAGTAATTGTGTGTGTGTATGTGTGTGTGTGTGTGTGTGTGTGAGAGAGAGAGAGAGAGAGAGAGAGAGAGACTCTAATAAAGATCAGGGGCAAGACAAAAATAATTGAACTAAAAACAAAAGGTTTAACTTAATTACCTGTAAAATAAATTATAAAATTAACTGATCCTCCATCTGCTTCAAATGATCTGCCAACTTTTCTTTTTCACACCCCCAAACACACACATACAAAAACATACACATTCCCCTCATTCCTTTCAGCAAAAACTTCAAGAAGAAGAAAGGGAAAGATAAGGTACAGAGGGGATAAGCGGAGTAGGAAGAAGTTACTAGAGAGAGAGAGAAAGCAGAGAAAGAAGTCTTAGCATTACAGAAAAGGTCAAATTCACCAAGCAAATAGTTTCTCCCAGCAGCAGCATCTGTAACAAACTGGGATGACATCAGAATGACAACATGCAAACACTGCAATCACATAGTTGTGTCACAACATCTGAAATACATAAGTCATGGAATTGGCATGTTGATGTCATCATACATGTGCTGTCACTAGCCCCTCCCCTTTCCACACTCCCCTTAGATGCCAATGCTCCTGAGCAGTGAATAGGCTTCCCGCTAATCTTCAGAGGCCACCACTATTTCTGAAAGAGACATCTGCAGCTGTTTGTACCTCCTGCTAATTCCTTTGTTTTCACAGCTGCTTCTCTTCTTATCAGCAAATGTAAACAAGCTCAGCTTCGATCTCTGTGAAACACAATTGCTCTGGGTTGGTGTTAGATCGGGTTTTCTCCCAACTCCAAGTTTTCCATCTTGAAGAGTTTGCACTGCCCTGTAAGGAGCAGGTCCACATTTTGGGGTCCTCCTGAACTCATGGTTCCTGCCAGAACAGCAGATGGAAACCAACGCCCCAACTCAGCTCCAGGCTTATCTGGTTGGGAATCCCCAAGTAGCATGACACATACCCTTGTCATAGTTAGACTACTGCAATGTGCCGTTTGGAAGGTGGCTTTGAAAACAGCCCAGAAGCCTCAATTGGTTCAAAGTGCAGCAGTCCATCTGCTAACTGGAAGCAGATTTAGTTATCTAATAGTCATTACACTGGGCACAATGTTAGTGGGTTCAATTCAAGGTGCTAGTTGTCCCCTTTAAAACTCGCTATGGCTTGGTTCCAAGGTACCTATGAGACTGTCTCTCTGTCCTCAAGACCTAACCTAGCCCATGTATTCCCCACATGTGAAAGGAATGGGGTCCTGATAACTGCTCGGATGCTGTGGAAGACTTTGTCTCCTGAAATATGGATTGTTCCAATTGTCCTTGCTTTCTGCCAATTGATTAAGACGTGGCTGTTCTACCAAGCAATTGGGACTTAATAGTGTATGGGCTTTAAATTTTAAATTATGGTTGGTCACACAGACAACCAGATGTTTAGACTGGATTTGGCATTTTTATCCACCTATTGAGTCCTTC